ACATTTCTGTTGCTTCAAGTCTTTTCTTCATCTTTGAGGAGATTGTCCAACAAATGCTGCCATACTGGAGGACAGACATCATGTAACAGTTCAGTACTCTTTACTTTGTTTCTAACAAAATTTTTCTATTACATAATACTTTGTTTAGCTTTTGGAATGCATCTTTGGCCATCCAATATGGCTTCATATCGCAGTGTCACACTTTCTGTCCTCTGTTAGAACATTTCCCAGATATTTAAATTTCTGTATGACTAAATATCAGAATTTTTGAGATCCATCTTAGTCAGGCAGAGAACTTTTCAGCATACTATTATATATGAATATGTAGAGTGCAAGGTATTTGAGAGCACATTTTGCAGTGCATAAATGGAAGACAACTGAACTTAATGGTTACCACCAAAACTTCTTCTATATGCTATGCCCTTTCAAAATGTGGACGATCATGGCTCTCCACAGCCTCCTATCACTTGCAGTTCTCAGCAACACTTACACCTTTGTCATTCCTCATGCCCAATTCCTGTGTCTCTTATACTTTCAATATGTACTGAGTTTTACATTCAACAGGTCCTGCTAATGTGTATAAATATAAGTGATTATATCTTCTATAATTTTAGTGCATTAGAACTACTCACTGTCAAATTCCCTGCTAAGACATCCCACTACCCACCTTGGTAAAGATGTATTCTATAAAAATGTTGCAATTAAAATATTAAAAGTACAATAGAACTCTCGAAATCTGAACATAGTATAATCTAGACCTCCTCGAATTAGGACTCATCTTTAAATCCAAACTTTCATATTGACATAAATATCAAACCTTTTCTTCCTAATATCAGAACAGTACCTTCAATACCAAACATCTCGGATGTTTGATTTAGAGGAGTTGTACTGTATATCCTTATTTTTGTCTTCCTTTCAATCAGTTATTTGCCATGGATGATACATGCTTAGGTGATCATGCATCTTTCGATACATGACTGATGAGGCAGATTTTTTCCCGCAGTAAGTTGCCATTTCTTTCTGCAGTAGATCAGTTGCCATCCAAGGCTATAGAACCTGGTCTGTCTTGCTATTTACCCATAGCTGGGGGAAGAAGAAAAGAATTCATACCATTCCCAAGGTTATTAGCCTGTAAGTGAATGTAATGGATGAGGGGAATTTGAACTCGGCTCTCTGATTCCTCAATCCCATCTGCTATCCATTACTCCACCCTGCCTCTTCTTCCTTTACAGATTGTAATTGTTTTAGAATAAGATATTTCATAAATTTTTAAACATTTCATAAAGTGTCTTAGTCTTTTACAATTTACAGTATTTGTTTCGCACAGATTTTTTCATTACTATTGGTTATCAATTATTTTTGTACATTTATGTATTCAGTCTACACTTTAAATAAAAACGAATCAACATTACAAACTACCATTTTTTTCCTAAACTCTAAAACTTAATAAAAAATTTTAAGCTTTTTCTTCTTTGAATCCATACAGTACTCTCAATACCAAAATCTCAGATGTTCAGTTTAGAGGAATTGTACTGTATTTCTAAAAATCAAGTACAATTTCTTATATGTATATACTTATAAAGAATTAATGGATTTATTTTTAATACCATATTTTTATTACTTCAAACGTTATTATAGTGAATGCTCTTATTTCAAATATAAGCCCCATTTTCATTTTAAACAGTATCTGATACGTCCATTGTCCTGTGTACTTGAGAAGTCTTAATAAAGAAAATGTGCACTCCAGCAAAGATTGAACCTATGTCCTTCTTTATAGGAGAAACCACCATTTGTTCCAGCATTTTTTATTGATTGAATACAGAGAGCATTACAGTTCAGCAAGGCTCTATTTTCCATTTTAAGGAAAGCCCACTTTCAGTCAGATATTTTTCTAAAAAACCCATATCAACTCAGTTTTGTATTTGAAATGTAAACAAAGCAATTTCTAAGGAATTATCGGATCTATTTTTATCCTGACTTTTTATTACTTCAAACATTGGTTTCCCCTACGAAGGGGGATGCACGTTCAATCTCTGCTGGAGAACACATTTTCTTTATTAAGATTTCTCAAATCTACAGGCTAACAGACAAAATACACACTGTTTAAAAAATAAAACTGGAATGTCTATTTGAAATACAAGTATTCATTATAATAACATTTGAAGTAATATATATATACTTGTGTATTTATATGTAAATATTTCCTAAAAAATATTTGTTTGCATAAACACACACACACACACATATATATTGTGTATTTATGCAGTAATCCTTATTTTATATATGTTTCGTTAAAGATGACTGACAAAGTACTGCGATTAAGCTTTTTATTTAATTTATCTTGTGTGTGTACAAGTGTTTTCTTTTCTGGACACAAAGTGTGTAAAAATGTCCAAATGTACTGCATTTCCAAGTGCTTTTAGCTGTACCTTTAGCCATTATCAAGGATGATTTTATTTTTACTTTTTAACTGAATATATGGGTTGTGTGTATGTATCTATAGTTATAGGGATGTTTTATTTTCCAAACACGGTCAGCACATTGTGGCCATGTTCATAGTTAATGTTATTGAATGTTGGCATTTCTCTTCTTTATTATTAGATTTTCCATTATTTTTAATCTTTTTTACATGTGGATGAGGTTATTATGCTTGTATTTTCTACTAGTATATTGGTGTGTGTGTTCAAATGAGTTCTAATGGAACTGTGGTCAGACACATGTAATGTAAGTTGTATGGATAGTCATATAGTAGTGTGACCGATGTAATTATTTATGAGTTTGGTTTGGTCAGGAACACTGTTCCTTGAGTGGCATTTGAATTCATAAATAATTATAACATTAATTCATAAATAATAAAAACCCCAGATGACAAGAGACCAGCAACTGATCTTCCCTCTGGCTTAGCTCAGTGGAGGAAAAACTTGTTGGTCTCATTCTATGCCTTAAAAACCAAACTAGTGATGTTTCATCATCACCAAACAGAACCTGAATTTTCACCTCTCAAAATGAACAAGTGTTCTCTCGGGGGTTAATCTCAACCCAAACCTTAAATGGAACTTGTACATACAATTCATCACTAATGATGCTGGAGAAATAGTCAATTCCTAGTACCATTCCAGTAAGCACCTAACTCCTTCTGCTATCCTCTAACATTACAAGGTCCATCCAGATCAGGCTGAAAATGGAATATTGCTAACATATATGGTCAGGAACTGTCCAATCTTCACTTTCCAGTCTTAACAGAATCCAAAGTGTCGATACACCCTTCTGAGTGATTAATTATTTTCGCCCCCACCCTAAAACCACCTACCTGTACCTGTAACGGCATTCACCCAGGGTGGGTTGAGCTGGCTCCAATATTGGAGTTTCATGGGAATTTGGAATTCACAAGCAGTCCCCAACCCGCATGTATAGCACATGAGATTTGATTATAGTGGTGAAGGTTTCGTGCAGGACCATCCACAATTTTTGAAGGGCCAATTACAGAAACCTGGTGCACTACGTGCCATGTGCTCAAACGGCCCTCCGCAGGTTTTGAATTCAGAGTTTTCCTTCTCCTAGACCAGTTGTCATCCAAGGCTATAGAACCCAGTCTGTCCTGCTATTTACCCATAGCTGGAGAGAGAAGAAGAGGATTCACACTTTTCCCAAGGGTATTAGCACATAAGTGAACGTAATGGAGGCATGGTGGAGTAACGGATAGCGGCTTGGAGTGAGGAATCAGAGAACCAAGAGCTAAAACCACCTGCCCACAGATGAAACATTGCAAACCCTTACTGCTCTCTGAAAGTGTTCAGATGAACTACATTCCTTAGTTTCACCAGTACTAACCTTCATGGCTAAGATCTGCAATGCCATTCACATTTTGTGAACCACCTTCAATCCATTCTTATTCCATTCATGAGATGTTAGTTCCACTTGCGCTTTATACAAGGTGAACATTGAAACATGAAAAATGTCAAATTTATATTAGATTGTTCTGTTTTTCTCATTGGATGAGAACTCTTTAATTTTAACTTCATATAAAATGATTGTTTCCATAGAGTTTCTTGGAAATATATAAGAAATATTTTTGGCAGAATATGCTTTCATTATCTTTATATTAAGAAAAGTAAAAATACAACTCAATTGAAGAAAGATTTGTGTAGATGATGGAGGAAATTCAGTGATTATACTTCAGTTGCAAAATTTTGTTCATAAAAAAGTGAATGAAGTTCCCTGATCAATTATACCAGACCATCAGAGATGCCATCATCATGTATTTAATGGTCAGATCCAATCTGAACAATCTTTTTCGTACATAATATGAATAACCACTAAGACACATTTAAAATTATGGTCTCAATTTATTTTGATTAAATATGACACACCATTTAGAGATTAATGTATTTTCACCTTTTTCATGACCAATACTTACCTGTTTTATATTTTTTCATATATAGGAATATTGTATTGATATAAATTTGTTACCATGCATTTTTATCTTCTATCTTCCATCTTCAATGGACGGCAGTTAATTTCATTTTGGATTAAATCTGAAAAACATGAAAATGGAACAATTTTATGAAATACATAGAAAATATGGCATCAATAAAGAGAATCTACAAAATAAAAAATGAATATAAAAAGCAAAAGCTGAAATGTTTATACCAATTATCTGTATTAATCACACAATTCAAAGTTCTCTTTTTCATCCTCTCTCTCTCTTATTTTTATTTCTTATATTCTTTCATTCATTTTAAAAACTTTTTCTTTCTTTCTTTTATTGTCACTACTTCAACCATCTTATTTCACTTTCCTTTCTCTTCTTTGAATATTCTAATTTTATTTATTTCCCATTTTATCTCTTGAGATCTTCAATCCCATGATTTTATGATCTCTCATTTTTACTTCTCTTGCTTTTACTATATTTCCTTCTTTCCTTTACACCTCTTTCAATTTCTTTCTATTAATCCTCTACCTTTCTTCCTAATTTTTACTTCTAATACTTTTGTCACTCAATGTTATATTTCTTTCATTCTATCACTTTTTCTTTCTCTGTCTCTCTCTCCTCAACCTCTTTCTTTTTTTATGACTTTCTCTTCTCTTCCTTCCTCATAACTTTTAATCTTCTCTTTTATTTTCATTTCTACTTCTACCATTTCTGTCAGAGAAATTCTTTTTCTTTACTCTTTCATTTTTTACTTCCACCTATTGTTTCTTTCTTTTTTTTTCTTTCTTTCTCTCTCTGCTTTTCTCTCTTTCTCTCTCCTAACTTTCTATCCTTATCTTTATTTGTTCTTCGCTCTCATTTTTACTTCTTTCACACTCATTGTGTGTATTTCATACCTTTATTTTTCTCCCTCCCTCTCTCTCTCTCTCTCTTTCTTTTTCTTCCACCTTCTTTTGCAGACTATTTTCCTTTCTCTTATCTTTTAGTTGTTATTTTTTCATTCACACCTTTAAAAAAAACACCTTTTAATTTCCATCAGTTTTATCTTTCTGAATACATTTTTACCTAGTTTTATAACTCTTGGAAATGATTCCTTGGATAAGAAATTTCTATGATAAATATCTAATTGTCAGCATATATCTATCTATAGTGATATATGCATCTGCAAATATGTTATTTAATATAACTCATAGTATAAATTTTTATACATGCATGAGCATAAGCAAAGAATGATATACAAATATATACATGCATATATATTTACTTATATATACACACAGTCACATATACATATCTGTACATAATGCATGAAGTTGTTTTTAATTATGTTACCATTTTCTTATTTTACATCTTTTATTGTTTGGGGAAGCATAAAAGGTGTTTTTGTGCTTCGTTTTAACTTACCTGGGGCTCGCTTTCAACCAATTGGAATTGTCAAAAGAATATTCAGCAATATGAAAAAAATAATGATGATAATTCAACAAACAAGCAAAATTAGTATTATCCTGCAAAACTATGAACAAATGGAGTGAATATGCATGTGTGCACACACATACATATCTATCTATCTATCTATCTATCTATCTATCTATCTATCTATCTATCTATCTATCTATCCATCCAGAGAGCTTAGAAAAATACATCATTTTGCAACAAAATAAAAAAGGCAAAACATGGTGAGAAGTAGGAAAATAAAAAAAGGGATTGTTTTTCACCCCAAGAATTTCTTGTCCCTGTAAATCAATAATGCATCTGTGAATAAGCATAGAAGATGAAAATATCTGAGCAATATATATATATAAGGTGTGTGTATGCATTTATGTATTTATATATGTGTATGTACATAAAAATATATATATATATATATATAGTCGAGTGGTTAGAATGTTAACATTCTGGCCTTGAGATCCAGATTCTAAACCCACCATGACCAATTTTCAAAGATGTGGCTTCTTGATAATATCATCCTGGTGAATCGATTCTATTATGTAGCACTATCTAAAAATTATACTATAAGTTGACCCAAGCCTTGCAAGTAAAATTTGGCAGATAGAATTGTTCGGAAGCCATCTATAGTTGTGCTAGCATGAAGTTACATGCCAACATGACCGAGGATCATCTTTGTCCAAGCATGCCGATATTATGCTCTCTCTTCCAGAATCTGTCATTAAGGTTGGCACAGCATAGTTGTATGGTAAACCACAAGTGGACTTAGTGGGTGGTGAAAAAATACACATGTGACTGATAAAGTGTCTACAACATGGATTATATAGCCCCTCCCCGCCTAGGAAACAGTCTTAATCAGATAAAAGTGACCATATATATTTATCTGCATGTATATCATAATACATTAACAGATAGAGGTGATTAGAACATTTGCTTTCTAATTATGAGACCCATGTAATAACGGTGAGTTTTAGATAATATCAGCTTGGGAAGGTGATTCCAACATTAGGAAGCCTGGAAATGATATCACAAGATAATCTAAGCCTTGTGAGTGAAACTGGGTAGAAAAAAAATGTTCAGAAGGTGTCAATGTTTATATTAGCACGAGTTAACAAGCCACTCATGGTCATGATGGTGTAATGAAATGGGAAATCAGAGATCTGAGTTCAAATTCCAGTGATGTTTGTTACATTCATTTTTGCACAAATACCCTTGGGAAAGGTATGAACCCATCTATTCTCCCTCCAGCTATGGGTTAAATGGCAAGAAAAACTGGAACTTATAGGCATTATTGGCAAGAAATCTAGGAGAAGGTAAACTCTGAATTCAAACCAGCCTTTAAAGGTTTGAGCTCCATCAGGTTATCTTGCCCAAGACACACCATTATTGCTACAGCTGCAGTACATGTGGTGTCTCTATGACTCTAATGACTTGTGATCATGATAGATTTTTTATTTTAATCAGATTTACCCCAAGCAAGACAGTTAAGCCTCTAAGACACAAAGGGTTACTGGGTGTGGAAGAATTAAAAAAACAGAAACAATACTAAAAAGTGAGAACACTGGAAGAGTAATTGGAGATAATGATTGACATTGCATTTAAACTTTTGAAGATCAAAGTTAACTGGAAAGCATGGATCCAGAAGAGAGTTCCACAAGTAAGAAGTGTGAGAAAAAAAACTGCTAGCATAGAACATATGGTTAGATCTAGTCAATTCTGTAAAAACTGTAAAATGATAAGATATTTTTGCCAATCTGCACTTAAAATCATAAAATCTAGGTACCATAGTGAAAAGCTCATCTGAACAATTACCATGAAAACATTTATAGAAAAGGCACAGAGAAGCAATTTTACAGTTGGTAAGGAAGTGACTGGAACCTAAATGCCAGGTCAGGGCTAATAATATTGCTGATTTTTTTTGCGGGGATGGGGTGGATTTTATCAAAAATCTCTAAATATATAGAAGCAGCATTGAAATATATATGACAGCAATATTCTAAGCATGATCAAATGGTAGCCAGATATGTAAGATAGATTCTGCAGATAAAAATTGTCTAGCTCAACACAGTGAACCAACTTCAGCTAGCAGCTGGATTCAATTTAGTCTTTCCACTTCATGCCAGCCGAGAATGTTAACCCTATCCTTTTTTTACCCCCCACATGCAATTGTCAATTGATACTGCTCCATAGGGGTTGAAGGATTGATTTGAAACCCCATAGATGTTGTTAAAAATAGACTACCATGAAAAAATCTGTTAAGTTATTCTAAATGTAATTTTAATTACAGGAATCCTTTGATTAGTGCGGCTAATGTGTACATAGGTAAGTATAAAAAAATCGGTTTTCAATTACTATGGTTAAACTGAAGAATGTTTTACCACACTAATCAAGTATTATGTATGCACTAATCAAATTTTGAGACATAAACTTTAGCACACAAACCGAAAACACCTCAAATGCACATTAATTGAGGAATGCTAGTATAGTGAATACGCCTTTTGTTTCATAATTGTTGACATCAGTATATTTTTGGACATGTGAGGGGTTTTTTGTAGTTTTAAAAAATTGCAAATGGTTTTACTTTAGCCTTCCACTGCAGGTATTTTATTACTTCAGTGCTCAAATATTACAAGTTACTTTCAGCATGAACTCTTTACATTGTAAATGAAGTGATTACATTGAAATGTTTGGTTCATTTACTTTTAATAAACCATATCCATCCTTATTTGGAAATATTGATAATAACTTGTTTTGACGAACTATCAGGTTTTATAATACAAAAAAAGCAAAATGCAACATAAGTGTTCATTTATAATTAAATAAAAGAAGAGATAGGTTACAGAGACTTATATTTGATAAAAAATATTTCATATTCATGAAGAAATTATTTTACATGTTAATATGAATTCCTGAAAATTCTATATACTTTTATCGGTTTCTTTTTCATTTATTATGATAACTTTTGAGCTTGTTTTACTTTAAAATTACCTGTAGGAATTTCCTTCCCAGAAATCTTTGCTTGAATATTGTTTTCCATTCTCATATCTCTCTGTCTTTTAATGATAGCTCATATTTCTTTAACTGGATTAATATTTAGAAAAGCTGGATGGCCATTCTATTAATTTGCTGTCTTTGAAAACTTTGTTTTGGCAAGGTGAGCAAGAGTCTTGTTATTAAGTGTTACAATCAACAAAAAATTGTGGAGAGTCATGATCGCCAACATCCTGAAGGGACATGGCATATAGAAGTAGAAGAGCAATGGTCAGTTTTGAAGCATATGGAAAAGCATTGTCTTACATGAATGTCCTGCCATTTGAAGCTTATTTGTTGTGATTCCTACTTTTCAAAAATGTCTTCTCCAAGAACATGGATCTTCTGTCATTATTTATCTTGGCTTTCATATCAACTTTGAAGTGATTTATAATTTTAATGTCAACAATACTAGACCAGAACATTAGTCCACATCCCACCTGACCTGGGGTGGTAGCACCTGTTAGGGTCCCAGCTATGGGCAAATAATTAACCCAGAAATTGAGGTAAAATGTATTGTGAAAGTATAAAAATAGGTTTTAATACCAGAAATACTTTGTAAAAAATTATTACCAGCAATATGTTTTTGAAAAAAAAACTATTACCAGCAATACGTTTTTGAAAAAATGTTACCAACTATATGTTTTTGAAAAAATAATATTACCAGCTATAGATTTTTGAGGAAAAAATATTAACAGAAATAGATTTTTGACAAAACAAAAATATTACCAGAAAAAAAAAAAATAAAGTTGTTGGTATTAAATGACCCATTGAGGTTGATATGCCATAAAACAAAACAAGCCAAATCATTCATAGTAGCCTCTTGCATCTTAGTGCCATTATCACTTTGCTTGGGGTGAATTAATTAAAATAAAAAAATTGGATGGACCTCATGACTGTGTTAGAGGTTCATGGAAATTGTCAGCCAACATAACTTAAAAAACAAAAGGTGGGATGTGGACTAATGTTCTGGTCTAGTATTGTTGACATTAAAATTATAAATCACTTCATAGTTGATATGAAAGCCAAGATAAATAATGACAGAAGATCCATGTTCTTGGAGAAGACATTTTTGAAAAGTAGGAATCACAACAAATAAGCTTCAAATGGCAGGACATCCATGTAAGACAATGCTTTTCCATATGCTTCAAAACTGACCATTGCTCTTCTACTTCTATATGCCATGTCCCTTCAGGATGTTGGCGATCATGACTCTCCACAATTTTTTGTTGATTGTAACACTTAATAACAAGACTCTTGCTCACCTTGCCAAAACAAAGTTTTCAAAGACAGCAAATTAATAGAATGGCCATCCAGCTTTTCTAAATATTAATCCAGTTAAAGAAATATGAGCTATCATTAAAAGACAGAGAGATATGAGAATGGAAAACAATATTCAAGCAAAGATTTCTGGGAAGGAAATTCCTACAGGTAATTTTAAAGTAAAACAAGTTCAAAAGTTATCATAATAAAGGAAAAAGAAACTGATAAAAGTATATAGAATTTTCAGGAATTCATATTAACATGTAAAATAATTTCTTCATGAATATGAAATATTTTTTATCAAATATAAGTTTCTGTAACCTATCTCTT